AGGGGGGGGGGGTCCAAAAATCCATTCATGGTATTTGGACATGTTGGAAAATTCTATATATAATAATAATATTATAATTCAACCAGCTGAATTTTCAGCTTGAACCCCACCTGATAATGCAAAATATCTTATAATCCTTGTATTTGTTGTTTCCTTTTTATTTTCAATGTGATAATTTTATTAGGCCGGAATTCAGAAAGAGAAAAACTTTTGAAAATGCCTCATTAAGACTTTGCAATCTTGAATATATTATAATAATATGTATATAGTGGTTATGAAAATGTCTCATTCAAAGGTAAATAAAAAACGTAAAGTTAATTTGAAGAAAAATATGTCAGATAAATTGAAACGGAAGAGAGTAATAAATCGTTTTCGGCCATTAGATATTTCACCAATAACGGCCTTTTCCTTTTTCCCATTTGACTAGTGTGAATGGATTATTATATCTTGTTATTTGGACAAAGAAGTTCTAGATATAGAGAAATTAAGACCATTTTGTCACGTCACTAACCATTTATCAACAACAATATCTCTTATTCCTTATCAACAACTGCATTATAAGTCTTGTATAATCGGGTTCGACAGAAGCTAGTAGCTTTCGTTCACTCTATATTCGTACCAATGTTTTTCTCAAAAAGTTTAGAGAAAGAAAGACTTCATCAAAAGTAAATAAGGGATGTCCTATAGTCCCACATCGCTGAAACATAACACTATAAGACTCTTTTTATTATTGAGCAGGGGTCTACATGTCACGACCTTACTTGAACAGGATCTGTTCTATAGGCTCGTACCATTGTATTCTTGATTTCTAAGGAGACAGGAAACCAAGTTTGGTGGATGATTTGTAGCCATTAGACCAGAGCGTGATTAATAGCTTCCATGATTCTCGGGTCATGGTGCCAGAGATGATCGTTCTTAACCTCGATCATGGGTGTTGAGATGGTCTAATGGTTGTCTGACAGACTCTTCAATCTTTTATGCCCAAGTTTCAGACAGCAAAAAGATTCTTCTGGGCAACTCATAAGGCAACAAATGAATACTTTATCCTTCCAAAATAGATTATGTTCTTATTGAGTTTAGGATAAATTAAATTGATATGTATGAGCTTAGATTGAAGTCACTTATAGAATGTCAAAGAGTATTTTCCACTTATTAAGTAAAGGGGAGAGGAAAACAAGGGTTAGCTAGTTTTATAAGGTCGACCATTACATAAGCCAATTCTTCCATTCATTCATTACTAAATCACGGTACAAAGTGACTGAGTCAAGTCATAACATGTTTTTTCGAAGAATCATGGACCTATGAAACGGACGTATGGCTGGTAGTTCCTTTCCACCAGAGCTTCATAAGCGTTACCCCATCCCCTCAATCTGATGTTTGGATGTGAGCTATACTCCACGAAGAACCAAGCAAATCGTATGGCATTGCCTTGCCATTTGAATTTCTTTTCCTAATGGAGTTAACAACTAAAGTTGGTTTGCAACTTATTGATTGCAATTTAAAAGTTTTTAAAATGAAAAAAGTGGCAAACATATATCAATCTCTATCTTGCAGGCATTTTATCAAAATACTGGGCTACAAAAGACATCTCTTTGGGCCTAAATTCTCTCCAAAAGATTTTAGTACATCTTCCCACATCGCTGCAACCTAGCATTAGAAGACTCTTTTTAATATCAAGCAGTGGGTTCACATGTCACGACCTTACTTGAACAGGATCTGTTCTATAGGCTCGTACCATTGTATCCTTGATTTCAAAGGAGACAGGAAACCAAGTCTGGTGGATGACTTGTGGCCATTAGACTAGAGCGTGATTAATAGCCTCCATGGCCCTCGAGTCATGGTGCCATAGATGATCGTTCTTAGCCTCGATTATGGGGTGCTAAGATGGTCTAATGGCTGTCTGACAGACTCTTCAATCTTTTTTGCTTATTAATGTCCTTCCTATAATAATTGTTTCCATGCCTCCATGGCCCTTGGGTCATGGTGCCATAGATGGTCGTTCTTAGCCTCAATTATGATGGTCTAATGGTTGTCTGACAGACTCTTCAATCCTATTTGCTTATTAATGTCCTTCCTATAATAATTGTTTTCATGCGTGCTGAATATTCACCATTTGATTACTAAACCAAGTTTTATGTTATACGAGAGATGTCATACATTGAAAAAGAAAATGAAGATGTTATATGAAACTATATCTATTTCGTTGACAAGGGACTCACATTCACTATCTTTAACGTGCGCATATTATGTAGATTTATTCGATATCTTAGAAAATTCATTACTTTCTTCTTCCATTATCATATGAGATTCGCCTAAAGTAATCCCTCTTTTTTAACTCCTCCCCCCTCCCTTTAAGGACTCTTGTCTTCCATAAAGTTTGTTCCACCACCTTACCCGAATCGTTCGACTTTAGTATCATAACTAGACTCATGGTATCATCGAACACAAAAATATATGCGTAAAACTTGTATTATATCTTATAAAGCTCTGAGTTAAATTAGATTATGGATTTTAGATTATTGTTAACTTATATGTGTGTTAATTTGGTCACAATTACAAAAAAGAAGAAGTAATTATCCAATTCTTTTAATTACTCTAGTGGGCCAACATTTTAGCCCTACATCTTGGGTCTAGTTTATAGCAAGCCCAAGTCAAATAGGGCTGGCGGCTACCAACTCTACGGCCCACACGAACCACTCTTTCTTTGTCAGGCTAAGCACACAAATATCTGTTTTTTGAATCGTCATTTAATTTATGTTTGCTTTATATTTATTTTTTATAAGTTTAACCGCTTAAAAAGTAATTTGAACGTATGTTCGTTTTTTAATCTGAAGATAAAAGTTGTCTTATTTTTAGCCGCGTGTGTCTAAATTTGTTATACTGATAAATAAATAAATTATTCTTAAAATTTCAAATAATTCAATACCTAAATTACTCCAAAAAAACTCGAATTTAAAATATAAGTTCGATATATCATAAGGAACAAATTTTAATAGTCAATATGATTAAACAACAATAAGTCTAACAAACGTAATAGCAACATTTTAATTTATTTTCATATATATATATACGCTCAATTAGACATAACTGAAGCACATGTTTAGCATGCACTTTACTTAATATTGAGTACTTGTTCAAAATAAAATACAAAACGGATACTAATTTAAATGAAACAACCAAAATATGACACCCCTTGGAATTATTACTTCTTTGTCTATTTTCTCTATTTATTTATTTTCCCTTTTTTCTTTTAATATTTATAGTAAAAGACAACATAAAATTATTCTATGGAACACCAAGCTTTAGTTCAATTGAATAAGTTACAACTTGTGTTATTAAAAAAAGAAGAAGTTACAACTTGTATTGATAATTGATTAAATTATATGTTACAAATACATAACTATTATAAGTTTCAAAATTGTACATTTCTGATAGTTTTAATACTTCATTTTAAATATTCAGTAATGTTTATGCGTTTTTATATCATTCAAAAGAATTGAACAATAAAATTAGTAGAATGTCATCTAAAAAAAATTATAATAATATACTAGTGAAAATAAATCTAACAAATAGGATTTGAGAAGAATATAATGTACACAAATTTTATTTATATCTATAATCAAAACAAAACAACAATAAACAAAAAAAAAAGGTAAATAAAACAAATGATCACATTATGGCAAGGAATATTCCTTCTCTTATTGCCAATTATATATATATATTAAAAAAAACAAATTATTTGTTACAACCTCAAATTACACCTTTTCTTTTATTCTCATGTTTAACAATGGAAATTGCTATGAAATTTCTTTTTGTACGATAGTACTAACTATAGAGTTTTTTTTCCCCTTAAAAACAATTTCATTCTTTTAATCGTTAATAATATTTCATATGCATTGAAGCCATAAAATTGTCTGGAATTGGGTGAATATTATAACACTTTTACGTTATATTTTGAATTGAAAAAAATAATCCTACATTTTTTTTATGTGTGTAATTTGTATATCTCTTTGTTTTTATATAAAATAAGAACTCTTGTATACAAATATAAAACTAAAAAAAATATTTACGAAGAACTAATAAAACTAATTGACCCGCAAAATTACTTACACATTATGTACATGATATTTCTAATAGTTTAAAAAAGAATACGCAACAAATGCAATTTATTAGAAACTTTGATGCATATACTTTTAATTATTTTTTTAAAAAAGTGACCAATTAGTTTGATGCATATACATCTCATTTATCAAATACTTTTACTATTTCATGGCACGTTTAGAATATTGTAATTATCAAGTAATGACCTTTCATTATTTGATTAATTGGATTTTGTTGTCGGTATGGTATGTTTCTTTTAATTTTTTTTTGCATTATGGTATGTTTTTATTACAAAAAGAATATTTCACGATAATATAACCATTAATCAAATTTTATAATTTTACTATATTTGTTAATTGTTGAGAAATGATCAAGCAGCAACGTTTCATGATTTGACTCATCAATTACATTTTGATAATTTTCCTATATTTGTCAATTTATAAAAATTAATCAAGCAACAACATTTTATGATTTGATTCATCAATCAAATTTTAATATTTTTCTATATTTGTCAATTTATGAAAATTAATCAAGCACCAACATATCATGATTTGACTCATCGGTCAAATTTGTATAGTTTTTCTATATTTGTCGATTTATGAAAAATATCAAGTTACAACCTTTCCATCCTTGGTGTAGTCCCCAATATATACTGATTTGGTAAAATATTAAAGAGAAACAAATTAGTATTCATCCTATTAGAGTAAATATTGTAAAACAAAAAATGGACAAGTGAATTAACTTTAAAAAATACTACTACTAATAATAATAATTTTGTATGCCCAATAAATTTTATAATCTAGTGATATCGATGATAACTCAAATTTTGTGTATCAATACAACAATAATATATTTAGTATAATTTTATAAAGTAGGGTTTAAATAGTATTGAGTGTACGCATACCTTATCTCATCCCTATAAAAGTAGGTTGTTTCTGATAGACCCCCGACTTGAAATTTTGTGCACCAATAATGATAAACTTTTGTTTTTGAACATAGATGATATTCAGATTAGTTTACGCGTTTTTTGACTGTTTTACATATATTGAATAACTATGTTTACATGCATAGAGATTCGTACTATTAAAAAAGTTTAGCTAACCGAAAAACAATGGAATCAACCAATATGCGAAGACAAACCTAGCGAATCATGTAGATAAGTCCTTACTGCCAGATGGATAGGAAGATCGATGAAGCACGAAAAGAATGAATGCAATTAACCGACAAGAAATATAATCATCTGACAGACGAAGACAAACCCAGTTAATCACTTAGATAAGCCTCTACTACCAGATCAGATGGATAGGGCATGTAAAGTGCGAAGAGAATGAATCTAACCGACAAGCAATAGAATCGACCGACAGGCAAAGACAAATCTAGTGAATCACATAAATATACCCTATTGCCAGATGGACAGAGTAGATGAAGCGCGAATGGAATAAATATCTGAGTGGTTGAAAATGTCGGTCGTATTTTGTAGTAGGGCATTTGGATGAAAGGGGGGGGCATAAGTCTCATTCTGGTTGAGATCGATCGGGAATAACATGATGTCTTCGTCTAAAGCGTCCATCCAATATAACTATCAGGTATAAAAAAAAATCATATGATTATGATAGAAAGTTAGCAGGTATTTGAGCATTGTTTAGTTTTCCTTGCTTCTATCTTATTCTTTGATTTTATTATTGCTTGTTTCCTCTACTACTTCAGTTACATTTTATCTATCGTTTTGCTATTGTTCTTTTACTTTAATCTTAACATGGTTTCGTCATGACTGTATTTTCTTTTCATACTTGAGTTTGATACATTTTACTTGAATCAAAAAACTATCGAAAACAATTTTTTTACCTTTCACAAGATAGACACAAAACTTCTGTACACATCATCCTTCAGACCCACATATAAAATTATACTAAATTTATTACTATTATATAACTTCTCTCATCAACATTTCTAACAAATTTAATTTTTTTTACCTAAAAATAGATTAGTATAATGTAAATAAAAAACTCTTTAATATAAGTTCCTTTTTTCTTTTTCATTCTTTTAAGGAAAAAAAATACAGTAATGGGCCCCCTACCGAATACACTTCTACCGACCCGCATTCTGAATTTTGGTCTATAAATACCCCTTTGACCCTTCTAATTTTCTCTCACTCCTCTCCATAACTAAGCACAATTTTGGGGAGAGAGAAACCCAAAAACTCCGGTACCCTTTTTCCGATCATCGTTGCCGGAATCATAATCGGTAGGTTTTTCCGGCATCTACGATCGAATCGGGTCTAAACCGTTTTGAAATGGATACGTACTGTTCGGATTGCAAGCGGAACACGGAGGTGGTTTTTGACCACGCCGCCGGTGATACGGTTTGCTCGGAGTGTGGGCTGGTGTTGGAATCTCGTTCAATTGATGAAACATCCGAGTGGCGTACTTTTGCTGATGAGTCGGGTGGTGATGACCCGAATCGTGTTGGAGGACCCGTTAACCCGTTACTCGGTGATGCGGCTCTGTCTACAGTGATTTCTAAAGGGCCTAATGGTAGTAATGGAGATGGTTCTCTTGCTAGGTTGCAGAATCGTGGTGGTGATCCTGACCGCGCGATTGTTTTGGCTTTTAAGGCCATTGCTACCATGGCTGATAGGTCGGTTAGTTGTTGCTTTCATTTCCTTTTGTTTCTGATGAACCCTACTGAGTTTTGTTTCCTGAAGTATTAGTTGAATTTGATAGCTAGGTTATGAATTTGTGGTTTTAGTTTGTTTAGATATTTGAATGTCGGTACATGTTTAAGTGTGAAATTTGGAGAATCTATATAATTGGGTATCAAAATGAATTGGGCTCGAATGGATCCGATTGGATATGGATGATTTATATAGATGATAACTAGCATCTGATTGATGTGTAGTAGGAGGAGGAGGAAAAGGAGGGGGTTAGAAGATGAAAATGAGTTTATTTTATGATCACTGATCGGATTTCAGGGCTTGTGTGATAGTGGATATTGGGATTAAATAGGTTTAAATCTTATAGAATCTGGTAATGAAATTGAATATGTAAGATGGCTAATTTGAAGAGTAAAACTGTATCGTTTTTCTTCCTTCCCTGATTAAGCTTTTTGGAGGGATGACATTTGTGGAATGATATGTGGATTTATAGTTTGATTGGCTTGGTGTTGTCATTACGCGAATTAATCCATCTGCTTTGTCCTTCCCATGCTCTGTGAGATGGCATTTGTGTTGGCCTTTTGTTACAACTACATTTGAAGTGATAATACTGGTTCAGGGAGGTGTATCATTCCTTTTAATTTTTGAAAGCTTGGAAATTTTTTATGCATTGATTGAACTGAGTTTTCTCTCTCTATGTTTTACAGGTTGAGCCTTGTTTCTACTATAAGGGTATGTTCTCTAGTATTCTTTTAAGTTAATTGGGCATCACAGAATTATCTGACTGTATTCTTGGATTCTCTTGCACCTTTTCAGTTGACACATACGACAGTGCAACTTCTTTCCATTTGGTGTTTTCATCGCTTCATTTATATGTGTGTTTACATCTTTAAAGTTTTCTTTTGTCGTCTGTTGCCTAAGGTTTTTTGTCTATTTTATATGTTAATTATATGTAGATTGCAGCTTATTACCCTCTTTTTGTCCATCTTATTTTGCTTTAGTAAACAGAAACCATTAATTTTCTCCGCCTAAGTATACTGTGTGTTTGTGAAAGCGCCAAAATTTGATAGTCTTGTTGCTGCAGGGTTATCCCCTTGATATATTAAGGGATGTCATCTGTTACAATCTTTTTTCCATATCGCAGCAAGTATTTTGATATAGCCTTTTTTTCTTCTTTTTGGGATTAGTCTGATACTCCTTATTGCTGAAAGATTTTCTGCACTAATTGGTATATGTCTTCTTTGATCTTGTGCAGGATCGAGCAAGTGAGATATATAAGAGGCTTGAAGACCAAAAGTGTACTAGAGGCAGGAATCTTGATGCTCTGGTTGCTGCTTGTATCTACATTGCGTGCCGCCAAGAAGGCAAACCCCGCACTGTAAAAGGTGTGGCAATGTTTTCTGATCATGTAGATTAACAGTTTACTCCTCTGTGTGAACTCTAAACCTTTGGGTGTTGATTAGAAATATGCTCAATTGCCAATGGAGCTAGTAAGAAGGAAATTGGGCGAGCAAAAGAGTTCATTGTGAAACAATTGAAGGTTGAAATGGGAGAATCAATGGAGATGGGAACTATACATGCTGGGGACTATCTGGTGAGTCAACTAAATATGTAGGTTTTGGCCTCTTTGTGGGGGCGCAAGTGTGATATGACTATTCTTTTATGTTATCCTGACATGAACTATTCTTGATCTTCAGAGACGTTTTTGTTCTAACCTTGGTATGAACCATGAAGAAATTAAGGTTGTCCAAGAAACTGTTCAGAAGGCTGAAGAGTTTGATATAAGGTACATATTTTTGTTTGTGTATGTTTGATTATGTTCTTAATATGGTGAACCCATACCTTGGCCCCACAGAATAATCCAGAGGCTGGTTTAAGTCATTTGTTTGAGGATCTGCATGTGAACTCTTTGAGGGAACTACTTGATTTTTGCAGTGGCTTGAATTCTCTTCTTTCATATTGAATGAACCTTCCGTAAATTTGATTTTGGCAGTTATTCTGTTCTGAAAACTTTAGAGAAGTTCTATTTTTTTGAAAAAAATAAAATTGATTGAACTTGAGTCGATGGGTAATAGGGGTGAAGCTATTCCGTCAACCGAGTTAGGTTCTTGCTTGAACGTCTTCCCTGCTCCACCCTCTTAAGAAAAAAGATTGGCAGACGCCACTTGTTTGATTTAAATGACTAATATATGCAAGTCTCGTTAAAGGGATTTTCGTGGACATTTCACTACTAGATTTTAGTTCTTAGAGTTTTTACCAGTAAATGAATTGCTAAAAGGGAAAGAAGAGGGAGTTGATCGTTATCACTCAGATCACTAGATTCTTAAGTCTATAAGCACATCAGGTTGGTGGATTAGATCCTTAATAGTTATTTTCCTTTTTGCAGGAGGAGTCCTATATCAATTGCTGCAGCAATAATATACATGATCACTCAACTTTCAGATTCAAAGAAACCCGTTCTGCGAGGTTAGAACATCAACCTTCCTCTTTGTGCAATCTTGAGCCAAAGAGGCAATGTATATTCCTTTACATTCATGCTTCCTTAAGTAGGTGCACAATGCTGCATTTCTATATCAATTGCTGCATAAGTGAATTCTTCATGTGGGGTTGCCTAGCTGCTTTTAAGTCTTGGTTGTATTTGTATATGCTAGTTTCGTATATACATCTGAACGGTTTATGCTTGCAGCAGATATCTCAGTTGCAACCACAGTTGCAGAGGGGACAATCAAGAACGCGTACAAGGATCTTTATCCTCATGCTTCCAAAATAATACCAGAATGGTACGTCAAAGACAAGGACCTTAAGAACCTGTGCAGTCCAAAGGCATAAGAGTACCTTAGTCGTTGAGCTCTATAAATCTGCTATAGGGCCTCAAGTCTGTAAGAATTATTCAAACAGAAAAAAACATCAGACGCGGAGTTTTGGCTACCCTGTGTTCTGGATTCACAAGGCACCGTAGGTCATGTAGACCAGAGTAAACCATATTATTTGCTTTTCCATTTATCTCTCCCCCTCCCCTAAAACACAAATAGGTTCCATTTTTTTTGAATGTTACAGATTTCATAGGCCATCGTCCAATTTTTGTATGGCTAAACATTGTCATGCAAAGTGAAATGTTTTCGTTTAACGTAAGATCCATCATTTGGTGAGTTTACTTCCGTTTTCAAACTATGTTGCTGCTGTTTGTTTTTTGTATTGAAAATATTCTCATTAGCGAGATACTTTATGAACATGCTCTTCTAAAGATTGAATGGAATATTATGAACAGGCTGAGTCTGTTGCATAATATCATAAGAAGTAAGAGCAGCATTAATAAATCGTATATCTCCATGTTGCTTGTTTTGTTACACTTGCGATGGAATAGTGTCTTTGTCATCTTTGTGAAGCAAATATTAATAGCAAATATCTTATCCATTTTCTCTTATCTTCTTTTTTTATGATCAAAGATTTTTCTCAAATATCTTATCCATTTGCTTGCGTCTTTTGTCACATCAGATATTAATAATAATTGGCCTATACTAGTCCAACTCTTTTCTTTGCCTTTCCTTTCCTTTCCATACAATCATTCTTTACTTGTCTTCCTATCTTTTGTCTTGTTTATGTGGAGAAAGAAACTTGTGCTAATCGAGTCGTGCACAAGCTGATCTGTTCGAACATCATTATAACAAATGAAAAAGAATGGCCTACTACATAAATTGCTTCAACGTTTTAAATTTGTCACACGTTTATGATTTATTATTAGTTTGGTGTGTCACATTCTCTTTTTATTACGTCTTAAAATAGCAAGATATTTTTTAAAAGGAAAATACATATATGTTTTAGCAATAAAAAGTTAAATTCATAATGCAATCATCAATTTGTTCCTTCTGCTAGTCTACATTAAAGCAAGCCATTTATCATATTATCAGAGTTTCTAAATAATATCATAAAGATGTTAGTTAGAAGAATAAATTGTACTATACACACACACATTACTTTCAAATCAAACCACAAACACACGCTATGCATGTATATATATGGTGTTTTATATAGAGCTACGAAGAAATTAACAACTTTTTAAATTTGTCAGTTAATTTAATTCACACACTTGAAATATGATCCGTCCAAATTGAGCACATCATAAATACATGACTTACAAATCAAAATTTTAAAAAATATTTGCACATACTTCACCTAAACAAGTTAAAAAAACATAAAATTTATCACTATATCAATGTATTATAAACAAGCTCAAAGTTTTACATGTCATCATGATATGTATATTGCATAGTTAACTTATCAACCTAATAGATGTCCGAAAACACATAAAGAAACTTTTTCAAATTTTGAATCAAAAACATCTCAAAGAAGTTCGATCCAAACAAATCGTAATTCAATTCTAAATAAAATTTACTGACAAATTAAATGTCAATGATATATTTCACCATTATAAAAGAAGAAAAGAACATGGTCATATTTGTCTTTATAGTTTTCTCTTTTTTACTCGAGAGAACCAAACAAAAAAGAGGCCATAAAATGTACTTGTTTTGTTTCAATTTATCTGTCGTGTTTTCATTTGACAATGATTATAAGAAGATAAATAATATTTGTAAATCTTATATACTTAAATTAAACATATGTCAAATATACGAAAAGAAAAAAAAAGTATTCTTTTAGAATCGAACTAAAAAGGAAAATAAGATAAACAAATTAAAACGGAGAGAATAAAAATTTCATTGTTTTGTCTTTATTTTGTCAAAATTTCAAAAAAAAAAACTGAAAATAACCACAAGAACCACATGACTTTCCTACTCTTTCACCATTTCCCCCGCCACTTCCTCCGCCTAACTATAAATTCATCTTCTTCTTCTTCACAACAACAAATCAATGGTTTTTTCATCTTTACAACCAAAATCACAACTAAACCATTTCATCTTTTTCAATTTCAATCACATCTGTACAAAAAATTACACATTTTGACATAAAAATTGTTACTAATGGATGCGTACTGTTCGGACTGTAGAAAGAGCACAGAAGTTGTATTTGATCATTCAGCAGGTGATATGGTTTGTTCAGAATGTGGGTTAGTTTTGGAATCTCATTCGATTGATGAAACATCTGAGTGGAGAACTTTTGCTAATGAGTCGGGTGATAATGACCCGGTTCGAGTTGGTGGACCGAATAATCCGTTGCTTTCTGATGGTGGGTTATCTACAGTGATCTCAAAACCTAATGGAACTACTAGTGATTTCTTGACATCGTCTTTGGGTCGATGGCAGAATCGTGGGTCGAATGCTGATCGATCTCTTATTTTGGCTTTTAAAGCTATTGGGGTTATGTCTGATAGGTACCTTATAATGTTCCTTCGATTTATTTTATTTTCATTTTGGGTGTAAATGGTGGTGCATTGTGTCATGGCTTCTTTACTTGAGCTGAAGGGTCTATGGGAAACCGTCTTTCTATCTCCCAAAATGTAGGGGTACTCCTGACCCCACTTGTGGGATTACACTGGGTATGTTGTTGGTGGTGGTGGTGTAAAGGTTTGATTTTGATATGGTTCTCTATGATTTTTGTGGGGAATGTGGGATAAGGGATAATGCTATCTTTAGTATTTTGTTTAACTTTTGTTACTATTTGTTATCAAACTGCTTTGATATACTTGTCCTTGAGCCGAGGGTGTATCGGAAACAACTTTTCTGCCTTCTTCTTAAGATAGGGGTAAGGTGTGCGTACACACTACCCTCATGAGACCCCACTTGTGAGATTGCATTGAGTATGTTCTTGTTGTTGTATGTGATTTAAGTTAATATAAAAGATGTCATGTATTTATTGGTTAGGTGAGTGGAGATTTACACATTCGGTTTATTTGATTACCGATGTTGGAGTAAAATTACTGGTAGAGTTGGTGTTATTTGCCTGGGAACTCAAGCGCTGAGCTGGGGCATTAAATTGTTAAATGTCTTGGTAAACATTGTATTTTTTTGGATTGATTACTGTTGAAAATGATGTGTGGTGATGATATCATATAGTTAGTGTGAGAAAAGTTTGCATCTTTACTGGTTGCTCTACGTATTCTTTTTTGTTACAAGTGGTCTATGTTGTGGTAAAGTGTGAATATTATAGGCTGAACTACTTATTGTCTTTTTTTTTATTGGCCTAAGCAGCAGGGTAAGCATGTGTAGCTTTTGTATTTATGATCTTCTAGATGAGGTGAATGCTCATAGTGGTGTGTGCAGTGTACTCTTGATTGCATGAAAAAATCCTTGAAGTTTGACAATGCTCATATAAAGGATTGCAAAAACTGGCATTAGTTACCAGGCTGGACCATGGTTGAGCATTTTACTAAGTGAAGCAATAGACAAGATAATGACAGTCAGATGAGACATAAATGAGTGTAGTTTATAAAAAGCATAACATTTGGTTCCAAAATAGTAGTGATAGAAGAGCAATATTGCAATTTTCAGTTGAAAGTGGAAATTGAATTGTTGGCTTTAGACCTTGCTTTGTAGTGACTTTGTAAGGTATATGCCTTGGTTTGAAAATGCTCTGTTTTATGCTTTTTTTTTTCTTTTTTTTTATAAAGGTATCATCTATGTTCTGTGCTTTTGATGCCACCTTATAGTGTAGGAGTTACAAATGTTTAGTCCAAAGTCATTTCATTGCCTTAAATTAGTGGTATGGTCTACTAAAATAAGAAAAAAAAAGTTTTAGACTCATCTGCTTTAGACAAAAAATTAATTTTTTTATGGCTAAGGAGAAATTAGTTTAGATGCCTCTGAAAGACAAGATGAATGTGTATCCTGTAGACTACCAAAAGAAAATACTTGGCTATCTACGACAATTTTGTGATTAAAAGATAGGACTTTGAAACTTTCACCTTATAATTTTCTTTTACTAAATTCAAGGCCTTTGCTTGGTTTTGGAATTGCCAAGAACTCTCATGGCTCGAGTCATAAAGTGTTTCCTAGCCTTTACACTATTGGAAAAATTTCCGTTGGGCCTTCATGTATTGTTGCAGTGCCTTAAGTTGCTGGAAGCATCGCACATCTTTTCACCTCGAAAGTTGTCTTGGTGCACCCAGAATAATCACCCTGGAGCCATAGAGAACATCGTTTGGTTGTAATTCTGTTTTTCCAGTCATTTCATTCTCCAAGGAAACTAGTTAGTCCATATAATGAATTACACCATACACTTTTTGCTCTCAAGTATTGTGTAGGTTGGGAAGTTGATTGAAGAAGTTTTATTTAATCAGTAAAATTTGCTCTTTTTTGTTTTATTTGTCCACCACTTCATATATTATACATAAAGCATTTCAACTTATTCTTCAAACAGTGCTCTTGGTTTTGGTATTCTTTCTATAAATGTGTTTCTTCTGGTCTCTTCTGTTACATTATCCTATTAGAGCCAAATGAACTGGTAATGTAAAACCTATTCATTATCAGTATGTGTCTGGTATGGCTCCTTATTATATTGACAGAAGCTGAACTTATAATGCGGAATTCCAAAAGATATGGCTGATGCAATTATACCTATTTCAGGTTGGGCCTGGTTGCAACCATAAAGGTATGTTTCTACTCCTGAAGTCCTGATACTCATTTCAATCAAATGACATTGAGATGTCAGGAAGTCTGCAGATATATGCTTGTGTTAAGAAGTGTCCAATTACTTTTTCTTTCCAATTTCATTCAATGTGTATGAAGAGTCATGCTCTCTCTTTTATCTAAGGCTGCCTGATTCATTTGCTCATTTCGCCACTCAGCTGGATAAGCAGTTCAATATTCAACAATGTTAATGGGTATAGTATGCACCCATGCACCCTCCTGGCCCCCCTCTACTAGCAACTGATTCATTTGGCCAGAGATATAAAATATTGGAAGCTATTTGTGTATTTTTTCGATTTTTTTGCTTGTGACCTGAGTGGTGTAGTATGTTCTTCTAGAACTTGGAGCTTGTCTTTCGTCCTGTGACCTTGTATTTGACATTCCGCCAGACATGTCATGGCAGGAATTGACAATTTTTGTTGGAGTACTTCACAGTATTGTTTTCTTAACATTATTAGGATATTTTCTTTTAACATTTACAAGAATAAGGAACAACCCAAGTACTCTATGTTATAATTCTCTTTAAAAGATGAACTTGAAGATGTTTCTATACTTCATGTAAAGTAATTTGACAGTTGACATTAAAAGTCACAGATTATTTTTGTTCAGTATTTCATTATAATGGTTTAGATTTTGTTCAA